GCATTCTATCTGTCCCAGGGTTTCACTTGCAAGATTCGTAAAGGGAGAAAACATACATAGTTCTCTGAAGCAAATATTTCACAACATATTTAGCAGAAGATAATATAAAACACAGAAACTATACTGGGAGGGGGATGACATAAATGCATTCTTTCACGCTGAACATTTTGAGCAAGGGAACAGGTTTAGAAGAAGTAGGGCTTTCCCTGGCTTTCCCCCTACAAATACATCACTGAATATTTTTATAGAGAAATGTTTCCGATAAGCTGCTTTTTAAAATCATATTACTTAATTGTTTTTATGATCAAGCTGATTGGCTGACAGATTTCTTTTGTTATATCAAACACACTAAAGAGAATGTTCTTTTTTTTTTAAATTCACATCTGTGATTATCATTAAAATACAGACTTTTGAAGGGTACAACTTTTCCTAAAGAGAGAAAATTTCACAGCTGAACACAGAAGAGAGAGAACTGTCTATGCGATCTTAAAAGATATTGCTGTATAAACATAAGATCGAGAGTATCCAGCATACTCCAGACATGCCTCCTTCATCCTCCAACACGTGTATAGAGCTGCTCAGGTGACCTGAGATAAACTAGGGTTACCATTCGTCTGGATTCCCCCGGACATGTCCGGCTTTTTGAGCTAAAAATAGCGTCCGGGGGGAATTTGTAAATGTCCGGACTTCCCCCCCCCCCCATGCAGAGCGCGCGGGGCTAACAGGGCAGCCGGCTGGATGGTGCCACTTACATGGGGCTCCAACAGCCAGAGAGACCCCCTCCTCCGCTTCCCCTGCAGCAGAGATCACTCCCTCCCTCCCTGCATTCACAGATCGCCTCTGGCAGTCTGGAGCTCCTCCCTCGCTCCTCCTCCACTGCTGCCCGGCGTGCTGGGACGAACGGCTCAGGCCTTTCCTGAGCAAGTTCACAGAGACATTAGGCGAAGGCCAACAACAAGGGGGTCAGGGGGTCGGAGAAGGGGCAGGGAGGTTTTCGATGGGGCAGTCAAGAGGGGGGTCGGAGTTCAGGGGGGGGACTTTCTGGCGGGGGGTGGATAAGGTTTTGGGCAGTCAGGGTACAGGTAGGGGGTAGGGTCTTAGGAGGGGGCAGGTTAGGGGACAAGGAACAGGGAGGCTTAGGTAGGCGGTGGGGTCCT